GTCAAGCACTCTCTGGGGAGTTCTGGGACTCTGCCTCCTATCAGGTAAGTAGATTAGAATAAAGAAGGGTGGTGTTTCTCCAGTCCACTGGAAGCCTCAGAGACTTACTCGTGCAGCCCAGTCATACCAAAGAGCCTCATTTACCAGAAGATGTAAGGGACTGTGCCATCGGTTAGGGTTGGGGATTGAGGTCGGAAGCAAACAAAAGAAATGTGCAGGTGCCTAGGGCATCATTCAGGGAATAGCCAGGGAGAAGCAGTTGACAAGATCATATCAGTTGAGAGCAAAAARGTCTCTCTGCCAGCAAGAAGAAGCCCACCCCAGTTCTTACTAAGCCCTTAAGAACTAACACAAGACATTAGAAGAGCTAAGCCCCAGCCTTTGTTTTGGGGAAATCAGACAGTGAAACCCAAACTCTGCACATAGTAGAACAAATTTAGTACCTTTGAAACAAACACCTCACAATTTTCAGTCCTTTTTGGATGYCCAAGAGCTTTGAATTAGTTTAGTCTGTTTTGAAACAAGGCAGGACATGAATTGATAAATAACCGAGAGCATTTGCATATCTCATGAGATAAATAATACAAAAAAAGTTGCCATTTATTGAGTGTCTGTACCATACAAAGAAAACTCCATTATACGCATTAACTGATTTAATCCTTACCTCCACCTTGGAGGAAAGATGTTATACCCTCTATTTTATGAAGAAATTAATACTCAAAGAAGTTAAATAACATTTAAAACCATACTGTTAGTAATTGCAGAAGCTGATCCAAGAAATCAGGACTATCTGTCCACAAGGCCTGTGCTCAGAATGGCCGCATTGTATGAGGCAAAATGGCTCCTGATAGTTTTATTTCGAAAGCCTAGGAAATACTGTCTCAGCTGGGGCTCCTAACTCAGAGCCACAGCCATAGTATCTTCACTTCCTGCTTCATCTTGGGTTGTTTTCTTAAGGTTGAACACAAAAATCACCTGGGAACCCTGTTAAAATGCAACTTCTATTTCAAGAGGCCTGGAGTGGAGACTGAGAATGTGGGCATTATGAGAATGTGCCCAAAATGTTCTTGTTACCGGACTGCTGGGCCATAGGCCCAACTCTGGGGGTYCCAACAAATCAGATCTGGCCACCTGCCCCAAAAAACAAATGGAAAAAGTAATGATGAAAAGTAGAAAAGGAACTGTAATCAATATGGCCATATTGGGGAGGCAAATGGGATCAAGCTTCCCAGTCCTGTCTTTGGGATACATGAGTGTTAGGTTTAAACAGAAGAAAAACTGAGGCAGTGGACAAGTAGTATGCAGAATTAAATAATCTTGGTTAAACTGTGTCCTGGTTGATTATTATCTCAGTTCTGGTTCTACAAGGTGGCTCCAGAGAAGTCCTTGTCTCTTGAAGAGACAATCTCCCTTTGCTTCACAGGATGTTTATCAGACCATGATCCTGGATAGGGGTGGGGACAATTCAGCTCCCAGGAGATGATTGCTCTTGCTTCAGGGTAGGGGGACAGTCTCATCAGGAAATTATCTGCCTTCAATTTTTCACTATTCCTGGAATGTCTAGGAGAATGACTGGAGACTTCTACTCATTGCTCCAGGGAGTCTGGAACAGGAGCTTTTTAAAAGCCAGCAGTTGAATGTCCCTGAAAATCTTAAAAATACCTTACTTACCTTTATTTTGGTGTCTTCACTCTTGAAGGGGAGAGAATGCCAGCTTGAGATGAACACTCCTTAAATGATTAACATACCTATGTGCAAAATTGAGCAGGATTCTAACACAAAAGTTAATAAATAAAACTGGAGCTGGGCACAGTGGCACATGCCTGTAATCCTAGCAGCTCACGAGGCTGAGGTAGGAGGATCACAAGTTCAAAGTCAGCCTCAGCAAAACAAGGCACTAAGCAATTCAGTGAGACCCTAAATAAAATACAAAATAGGGTTAGGGATGTAGCTCAGTGGTCGAGTGCCCCTGAGTTCAGTCCCTGGTGCCAAAAAACAAAAAACAACAACAACAACAAAAAAAAAAATACTGGATACTAAATGAAGGTAACTTTTAGTTACCCATAGGCCCAAGTGAAAAGTCAGTACTTTTTAGCAAAGGCAACCTATCTAACTAAGTACCCGTTATTCTCTGGGGATTAAAGAGTATCTCACCCAACGTAGAGGCTATTGGTGAACAGAAAACTCTCAGGCAGTGCCAGGGAAACTGGTCACTGTAATGAATCTAAGTCATGGTTAAGTGACGGGATTTGGGAGAGTCCAGAGGAAATGTGATCAGGCTCTTCAACGCATAGGCTCTAGGTTATGAGTGACTGGGGTTTCAAATATTTCCACTTGTCTCTAGCAGAAAACAAATGGAAAAACTGAGCCATCCAACAAGCAGAAGCCAGAAATGGAACAAGAATCCCGACGTTTGTAGCCAAACAAAAGCTCATTTTTTTTTTCCCACAGTCAGAGACCAGTATCAAAATGGAGGCTTAGTTGCAAAATTCTTTTGCTATTTCTCTTGTCAGACAAAAAGCAGCCTCAACTTATTCTAACTTCTGTTTGTTGAATATTGTGTTGTCATGTTTAATGCTGGACGGTTCCTTTCTCTTTCTTCCCAAATTGACTGGATCAATCCCCAGCAGTAAAAGGCACTTTTCTAAAGTGTAGACGCCACTGAGATCATACAGTGGCTGGAAAGAACTTTAGATGGTCATTAATATAATTCCATTATTTGGAATTGCATGCACTCACAATATTTTCTAACTCATTTTTGTAACTATTTATTTTCCAGTTGGTGCTTGGGGGCAGGAAGGTAAGATATGCTCTCTTCACTATGAAATCAATCCAGGATTCTTAGTACAATTGTCTGCTGACAAACAATGTTTCAGTCAACAACTAACAGTATATACAATAGAGGCCCCATAAGATTGTAATGACTCTGAAAATTCCCTATCACCTAGTATTTTTACTATACACTTTCTGTTTAGATGTGTTTAGATACACAAATACCACTGTGTTGTAGCTGCCTATAGTATTCAGTAGAGTAACATGCTATACTGGTTTGTAGCCTACAAGCAATAAGCTACACTTTATAACCTAAAATGTATAATAGCTGTACCATCAAGGTTTGTGTGACACTCTACGACATTCATATGGCCATGTTTGAATCCTGGTCCAACACCCTAGTTGCTATATGTCTGTACAGTTAACTTCTCTTTGTACATCATCATGTATAAAATGGAAATAATAATGATACCCATTTTATGTTATTATAAGTGTTGAAAGAGTAATTCTTTTGAATTACCTGACCTATAGAAGGCAGTATGTGAATTTTAGCTATTATTATATAGAAAGCACACTGAATCTAGATAATAAGCATTAAAGTTTTATTAGATATGTGTGTTCTAGATATTGCCTTAAATATCTTACCCAGATTTCCTCATTCAGTTCTTCTAACATTCCTACTCTACAGATAAGAAAACAAAGACTTAGAAAATGGATAGAAAGCCCAATCATAAGGCATAAGTGTAAATYTATAAGATACTGAAGTTCATTTTCTTAACCATTATGAAATACCATGCATGTGTTTACAATCTTTGTGAACATACCTATTTGTAGACACAGACACATCTAGACCCTTGTATGAGCACATGTAAATCTAAGCTCTGCTACTGAATTTGTGCGAATAAGGGTTGTAAGCAATTTTTTTTACATTTGTTTTTCAAACAAACCTACCAAGCCAAGCATATTGTCTATTTACTTTTAACTTATTTGTGATTTCTGATTCACATAATATTTCTAAAAAAAATTAGTGCTGAAAAATTATTAAATCAAAATAATACCATCTATTGGCATTATATTCAACTTCCAATTTATCACCAGATGGAGAAGGATTTGTTTATGTTGTGTACAGTCTCAGCCAAATGACTATCTGGGTGGCAGAGTCAAAGCTCAATTCTGTTCTCTATGGTATCAGGACCCCAAGAAAGAAAGGAGAAAAGAAACTAATATTTTTCTTTTTTTTTAAGTTTTTTAAAATTTTTTTTAGTTGTAGATGGACACAATACATTCATTTTATTTGTTTATTTTTATGTGGTGCTAAGGATCAAACCCAGTGTCTTATATGTGCCAGGCAAGTGCTCTACCACTGAGCTACAACCTCAGACCCCAGAATCCATTTAATTCTTACAAATGGAGATTTCCCTGATGAAGAAACTRAGGTTCAGAGATGTTAAATGACTTTCCATTGCACACATAGAGTAGGGCAGATCCGAGATACAGACACAAGATTTATGTCTCAGAGTCCAGTGCTCTTTATCCAGTACCACAGTGTCTCTGAGATAATATAAAGCCACTTTTTATTGGGAGAATAATTTCCTTAAAATGTGTAGAGTGATTCACATCATTTAAAGGCAATAACAGAGAAAAGTACATGGAATAAAAAGAAAGGTATTTGATTTCTATTACAAAAGACTTTGTTGGTTATAAGAAAGAATTTCTAGCTGGGCACAGAGGCACATCCTTATAATCCCAGTGGCTCTGGAGGCTGAGACAGGAAGATCATGAGTTCAATGCCAGCTTCAGTAACTTAGCAAGATCCTAAGTGACTCAACAAGCCCCTATCTCTAAGTAAAATATAAAAAAGGGCTGGGGATGTGGCTCCATGGTTAAGCACCCTGGGTTTAATTCCCAGTACAAAAAAAAAAAAAGGAAAGAATTTCTGGGGTTGGGGCTGCAGCTCAATGATAGAGCACTTGACTAGCATGAGCAAGGCCCTGGGTTCCATCCTCAGTACTGCAAAAAAAAAAAAAAAAAAAAAGTGTGTGTGGGAGGGAATTCCTGAATAAAGAGACATAGGTAAGGCCAAGAATCAATGACCCAAACATGTGAAAGATTTTTTTATCTCTGAGAAGATCCTTTGATATTTATCTGAAAGATAATCTAGCTAATGCAAGAAGATAAACCTGAAGATTTTTAGACTTTCTGAGTTGCAGTCCTGGGCCTAAGAGCACATGCTGCCACGCTTGCAATTTGCTGTACGTGAGTCATGTCAATAAGTGTATCTCAGAGGCTAAGTGCACACATCATTTTCAAGACTGGGGCTCCCCTCTCTGGGGACTGATAGGGAAAGTGTTTAGACCCATTAGAAAAATTTTACCTCAAATTTAAACTTAAGCTGGGCATGATGGAACACGCCTGTAATTCAGGAGGCTGAGGCAGGAGGATCACAAATTCAAAACCAGTCTTAGCAACTTAGGGAGACCCTGTCTCAGAGTAAAAAATGAAAAGGACTKGGAGTGTGGCTCACTGAGAACACCCCTGGGTTCAAGTGCCAGTACAAAAAAAAAAAAAATTAAATTTAAACCAGGACTTTTTCTTTCTAATCTTTCTTTTTTTCTATTTGCAGATGACCTAACACAGATACGTGAGTTTATGGCCCTTTAATTATGCTTTGTCTAAAGATGCAAATTGGTGGATTGTAAAGAAAGTAATCGAGAAAGATTAACCTCAAAAACTGAGGGCCCCCCCAAAAACCAAATGCTGGATGTTTTCTTTGATTCATAGTGGGATAGAGAGCCGGAGCATGGGAGGAATAGACGAACTCTAGAAAGGGCAGAGGGGTGGGAGGGGAAGGGAGGGGACATGGGGTAATTAATGATGGTGGAATGTGATGATCATTACTATCCAAAGTACATGTATGAAGACACAAATTGCATGAGTATATTATGTATACAAACAAAAAACCAAAGAACTGAGGGCCCCTCAACATTATGTGCCCAATTCCCATTTTAGAAAAGTTTCAAATAGGGACCTATGTGGGGTTTTCTTTACTTCCATCCTTCCCTCCCCAAGTTCCAATGTTCCTGCCTATAACTGAAGCCAGCTTTCAGAGGGTGATCCCTTCCTCACACACTCTCTAGCCAGTAGCAGGTAAAACCAGGATGTGAATTCTTACATTTTATTGATTCTTTTGTCATTAGTTTGACCTTTGGGGAATTTTTCTGGTTTCTCCCTCCAATTTCCTTTCTCTTTTCTCTCATTCCTCAGAATACAAAGTCTCCATCTCAGGAACTGATGTGATTCTGACGTGCCCTCAAAAAATTCTGCAGGGCACAATAAATTGGGAAAGAAATGAAAAAAAACTAGAAGGCGAAAATGACGAACAACTGTTACTGAAGAATTTTTCWGAAATGGATGACAGTGGTTATTACGCCTGCTACACACCCTCAGAACAAAAAGATAAAAGTACACGGAATTATCTGTACCTGAGAGCTAGAGGTAACATTCTCCATGACTTCTCCAACCCAACTCACAGTCCTCTGATGTCCCAGGGCTTCCTTCTATACTCAACCCTGGGAGTGTCCAAGGCCACACAGCATCAGTATTTTCTAGAACAGATTAAAAACCAATATGGGGCTGTCTGGATAATCTCAGTTAGCTCTTGGTCTAAAACAGCAACTTCCCAAGAGACAGGCTTGGGTCATTTGGATTGTGTCATACCCAGAATTACAATATGAGTTTATCTGATGCTTTATCCAGAGATACATTCTTTAGAGGGACTTGCAAAGGAAGCCAAAGCCACTGTTTTTAAACTGTCTAAACTAGAGTATAATAATGAAATCACAAGGAGAGCTAACATTTATCGAGTGCTTATAAAATTTCAAGCACTGAACTTGCCAGGGATTTTTTTTTCCATGTATTCTTCTCAAAAGCCATATGAGTTAAGTACTACTTTATTACCATTTCGTAGATGAAGAAACAGAGATTTTGTGAGTCAAAAATACATTGCACAATTCCCATAACTAGTGAGTAATGAAGCTAGGACTTGAACCCAAGACCGTTGGACTATAGCTTGCTAATTGTTATCGTTGTTATAAACATATTGAAGGGAAGGGCCTGTGGCAAGTGTGTGAGTATWGAGGGGAAAATCGCCTTCATCTGTTCCTCCCTCTTCTCCAGTGCCCTGATATCTTCCCTTCTCTGTCATTTCTCTTCTCTCTGCCCCTGGTCCCGGTAGTGTGTGAGAACTGCGTAGAGGTGGATCTGACGGCTGTGGCCACAGTCATCGTAGTCGACATCATTGTCACTCTGGGCTTGCTGATGCTGGTTTATTACTGGAGCAAGAATAGAAAGGCCAAGTCCAAACCTGTGACACGTGGAGCAGGCGCTGGTGGCAGGCCCAGGGGTAAGAGCTGTGTCAGAGAACATTCCCATCAAGGTGGCGTCCAGCCTGGGACAGGGTGGGCAAGTCCCCAGGAAAGTTGAAACTGCTTCCTTAGAACATTTACTGTTCTACCAAGGTCTCCTTCTCCAAGACCACTCCTCTCCTTCCCACCCTAGAAAAGTGTGACCACACTTAGGAAAATGAAGGGCTTCCTCAAATGCTTATCAGTGCTCTGCAGTAATGAGATCCCACCCTCAGGCTGTGAGAAGAGAGACTTTGGGGTGTTCCTGCCTTTTCCTTTCTGTTCCCYCATGGAAAGAAATGATGGGAGGACTTGGGCTAAGGAAAGTCACAAAATGAGAAGAACAGTGTGGGGGTCCTTAGGGATGGGATTGAAGAAAGAAAATGAAAAGGGCACTGGATGGAAAATGGGAGATGTGGAGGAGAGACAAAGGGGACTGTCAACCTTGAGCTGGGTCTCACTGGGGCACTCAGCACTGCAACATTGGGGTTCCCCCCTGGAAATGAATACTTCTCCCTTCCCTCCTCTGCAGGACAAAAGAAGGAGAGACCACCACCTGTTCCCAACCCGGACTATGAGGTAACAGGGATRGAGTRGACAGGGAGAGGTGGKGAGGAGGAGCATKCCCTTCTAGRRGGGAGGGAACAGGTAGGACTGTCCCTCTCTCACCTGCCAGATACTTTGAAAGCCCTCACTCAGGGTTCCTAGGAAAACTCACCATGGGACCACTTCTGCCTCTTTCATGGCAGAACAGGCTAAGAGGTTGTGTGGCCSGAGGGTGGGAATATACCCCTCTCTCTGGTTCATTCACTGGCTGGGATATAGCAGTGGAAACATCACATATGTGAGGTCTAATATGATAAATTCAGGACTGATGTTGCACTAGCATATACTAATGTAGTCAAACAGTTATTAAAATATGATAATGCTTCATTGGTAAGTAGCCCCAAGCCTCCCGCCATCGCACCCACACATACACTCTCAGACATCACAGCCCATCCCTCTGCCTCTTGATCTGGTGACTAAGCAGCTAATGCCTGGCCTAGGGGAGCACCACCAGAATTGTTCTCATTGGTTGGTGGGTGTGCACCTATAGTTATCACATATTTTTATTGTCACACCTGGACCCACTCTACAAATATTTAAGCATGTGATATTTACTTTCCAATGAGTGACTTAATTTAATCCTGACAAAAGCCCTGAGCACTTGCCTAGCATAAGAAAGGGCCTAGGTTCAAAACCCAGTATTTCTCTCTCTCTCTCTCTCTCTCTCTCACACACACACACACACACACACACACACACCTGAGAGGTGAGTCTTTAGACTCCCATTTTTAAAATAGGAAAGTTGAGGCTCACAGAAGTACAGAATCCATGCAAGTCTACTACCTGTAAGGACCAACTTGGAATTCCCAGGTGCCTCCTGACTCCAAGCCCAGCATCTTTCCACTGCACTACAGCTAGATCTCCAGAGCCATTCTCCCCCASGAGCTACTTCCTCCACCCTTCTAGCCACCCCTCTCTGTTCTACCCCCAGCCCATCCGGAAAGGCCAGCGGGACCTGTATTCTGGCCTGAATCAGAGAGGAATCTGACAGCTCTGGAGGATCGCCTACGTCTGCCTCTCCCTAGGCACCCTGCAATTCCTTGTTCCCTGGACAAGTTTTGGACCCTACAAGAGAATTGTTCTTCAGTCTCACAGTGAACTCACAACATCCTGCAGAATTTTCTTTGGCTCGCTCCTTCCTGCCATCTCTACCTGCCGCCCAGTTCTAGGATTTTTCTGCTTCATTGTCCTTTGAAACATCATGGCTATTCAGCCCCTTACACCCAGCCTGCCTGTCAGGATATTTATTTCTGTGATTCACTCCTKGCCAATTCTTCCCTTCCCCCACACAAATATTTCTGCCTTCAAATCCCTCCTTTCTCTGCATATAAATTGTCCCTCATTCTGTAATCACAGTGGCTTGG